CTGATGCTGCTTGGCCTGCTGTGTTCATCCAGCTCTGCACCTTGTTATCTCAGATTCTCCAGCATCTGCAGTTCCTGCTATCTCTACAGGTAGAAATGCTTGGTCCAATGGCAGGTCTGTCAGACAGCATGAAGTCATGATCAAGAAGCACAGAACCATAATAGTACGAAAGGAACCAATTTTGTCCTTTTAGTCCATGCCAGCTTTTGGCAGGGGCAATTTAATTAATCCAAACCCTTTAATGTGAGCAATTCTTTTCTTGGCAGGTGTATGTCCAATTCCCCTGTGACAGCTACAATTGTAGTAGAGGAATATTCACAGGTAGTACATACCAACTTCTAATCACTAAATGTTTAAAAACATTTTTCTTCATGTCATCTTTAGATCTTTTGCTATGACTGTAAATCAGGTTCTCAGCTCTTCCATCAATAAAAACATTTTATCCCTGTGTACTTTGTCTAAACAACAAATAATTTTGAACATCTCAATCAAATTTCCTCAGAATCTTCCATTCTTGAAGGAGAAGAATGCCAGTTTATCCAATTAACTGTAGATTTCCCCCATCCCTGAAATCATTCTTCTAATCTTTCCTGCACCACTTCTAAGCCATTAACATCAGCCTCCTAAAGGAACTGTCCTTTATTCAGTATTCCTGTATCCAGAATTGAACACTATACTTCAGTTGAGGCTAAAGCACTACTTTATAAATGTTGATCACAACTTTATTACTTTTGTACCCTATGCCTCTTTTTTTTACAAAAAATGTAATGTCCAGCATTCTATATGTCTTACATTTCACTTTCTCAACTTGTTATTTCATCTTCACTGTACACATGTCCTCCACAACCATTATATTACTGCATCCTGCTAGAATTGTGCCTTTGTAAAGACAGTATCTTCTTATTTTGTGCTTTTCAAAAAAAAACTGTGGATTGAAATGAGAAATAGCTATTTGAAACCAATGAATGAAATGCAAGGTATTGTGTAAACAAGCAGTAACTGAAGTTTCAGTTGCAAACAATTTGGAGCCGAGGGGATGTATAGATGTGGGTGTTGTTGTTCGGAGGAGAACTGGTCATTTGTCCATAGACCAGTGACAGAGACGTTTTTGCCTGCCAACAACTGCATGATTAGTTCTCAGGCAATTGAGCAGCTTGGAGCTGGGAACAAGTTTCAGAGAGAGCATGAGAAATGTTCAGTTCTTCCCTAGCTCAGGAGTGGTCCCTGTTCTCTGCAGCCAAAACTCAATGCAAGCCTGAAGAAATCAGTTTATTTTTCCTGTAGCAACTGTCGTAAGCTATGATTTTTAGCTGGTAAGTCAGGGACTTTTTAGGAGTGAACAGTCACCTTATGTCACATACCAGCCAGTGGAAGCATTGGGAGAAAGATGGCTGAAGTAATGTGCTGGCCAGCGGAAGAGTCATAATGATCATCTCAACAGTAGGACCTGAGAACAAAAACTACTGAGCTTCCTTTCCAATTTTTCCCATCTGTCTGTAACCTATTATACACTGTCCGTGGCATGTGAGGAGGAAAGCATCTATGGGGATTAGTGTTTTAATTAGTGGCATTATTATATGCTGATGGTTTTTATAACTGTTTACCTGTAGGTACAGTCTAATTATTTTTCATAAATAGTGATTATGGTTCAGTATGGAAACTGGGTCCATGCTTTCTATCAACCTGGGTTTGAAAGTCAGGTAAATTGGGGAAGTTTGCGTACTTTAAAAAATCTTTTGCTTTTATGACATCTCTGGAAATAACTGGATTCGAATTCCAGCACATTACCCTTGTAAGTCGTAACAGCTTTTACATTATGTTGTTACTCTATGTCTACGTATTGTGTCACTAAGAGAAGCTAAGACATAAAGAAGACAGGCTCTAAGGGAAAATACAAGTTTGGTTTGATGACTTTTGGCTGGGTAATTGGATTTTTTTTAAGAGGTTGGTTTGCAATGTTTGTTTCATGGTGGCTTCTATTTCAGCACTGTGGACAAGAGGATGCATGATGGTCGGTATCAGAGTGAGAAATTGGAGTTTTATTCATTGGTATCATGGTTAGGTGAGCTGCAGGACAACCAGTCAAAACAGGGACTCTGCTAACTGATCCTGCCATCATCTTCCAGAGCTCCAATGCATTCCTCATCTACTCACCAAATAATGCATGACAAGAAAAATGATCTCATGAAGAATCTGTACAGAGAACAGTAAACCACATGACACATGCTACACATTCCTAAGAGTCCTTCAGAGAGACCCGGCAGAGTGTGTTCAGGCAACAGAGTTTTGTTTATACATGCCAATGGTCTACTCTGTGACACATTGTGCAACATCATGGCTGCTATTATACACATGGCATCCGCACGTATGGTTTGTGTATTAGAGTCATGAGCCAGGGGGTCAGTGGATAGCTCTCGTCATTCAGTAGTTAACTTCTGTTTTTTTTACATATGGTTCAGTGTAATGGTGCAGTGGGCTGCATCAGAACAAAGCTATGATGACAGCTTCAAGGATTGCAGGCATTCACCTGTTTGATCAGAGAATGGTCGCATGCCAGCTGGACATTGAGAGAGTGAGACTGTTTGAGATGCATTTCTGAATTTATAACATCTAACAACTAACAATTTATAACAACTATATAATGCAAACAACTTTCATATGAACTATAGTCATAGAGCTGTACAGCATGGAAACTGACCTTTTGGTCCAACTCAACCGTGCCAACCAGATATCCTAAATTAATCTAGTCTCATTTGCCAGCATTTGGTTCATATCCCTCTAACCCCTTCCTATTCATACACCCATCCAGATGCCTTTTAAATGTTGTAATTGTACCAGCCTCCACCATTTCCTCTGGCAGCTTGTTCCAGCTTGCACCACCCTCTGCGTGAGAAAGTTGCCCCTTAGGACCCTTTTAAATCAGATCATTATCATCATCATCATAGAATCCCTACAGTGCGGAAACAGGCCCTGCGGCCCAACAAGTCCACACCGACCCTCAGAGCATCCCACCCAGACCTATGCCCCTAATCTAGGCATCCCTGAACACGACAAGCAATTTAGCATGGCCAATCCACCTAGCCTGCACATCTTTGGACTGTGGGAGGAAACTGGAGCACCTGGAGGGAGACACAGGGAGAATGTGCAAACTCCACACAGACAGTCGCCTGAGGGTGGAATTGAACCCGGGTCCCTGGCGCTGTGAGGCAGCAGTGATAACCGCTGAGCCACTGTTCCGCCCCAAATCTTTTGTCTTCTCACCTTAAACCTGTGCCTTTTACTTCTGGACTTTCCCCACCCTGGGGAACAGATCTTGGCTATTCACCCTATCTATGCCCCTCATGATTTTATACATCTCTATAAGGTTATCCCTCAGCCTCCAACACTCCAGGAAAAATAGCTGCACCCTATTCAGCCTCTCCATATGGTGCAAACCCTCCAACCCTAGCAACTTAAATCTTTTCACAGATTTTTCACAACATCCTTCCTATAGCAGAGAGACCAGAATTGAACACAGTATTCCAAAAGAGGCCTAATCAATATCCTGTACAGCTGCGACATGACCTTCCAACTCCTATATGTAATCCACTGACCAATAAAGCCAAACATACCAAACACCTTCTTCACTATCCTGTCTACCTGTGACTCTACTTTCAAAGAACTATGAACTTGCACTCCTAGGTCCCTCTGTTCAGCAACACTCCCCAGGACCTGCCATTAAGTGTGTAAGTCCTGCCTTGATTTGCTTTTCCAAAATGCAGCACGTCACATTTATCTAAATTAAACTTCCCAATCGAGTCAAAATATTTGAAATGTTTCATACAAGAGTATATAATTTAACTGCAATGATTATTGGAAAGCATAACCTTTGCTATAAAGTTAAGACTTCACTCCTGTTGTCTTCCATTAGGTAAATTTATACTGTGGGGCATTTTCGTAGTTCATATTTAGTTAACCTTAAATTATGCATTTACCTAGAACTAGATCTTACTCCAAGTACATCATATTTGCACAAAATATATCTGAAGATATATAGCAGTTTGCATCTACCTGGTCTTTTCTTTCTAACAATAATTGGAATCCTTCCTCCTTATCCAATTCTGGATTCTCATGTAGATTATCTGCTTTCTGGATGAGGATATCGAATTCCCTGGTCTGGCTGCCTTCTTGTAGTGAAGATCCCGATGTAGTGTTTACTATCGAACATATCACCTTTTCTTCTTCAGATTCTTCTTCTGTATCCGTATGTGCTGTGATATAGCTGGAAATGGAAGAGTTTACAGGTTTACTAGAATGTGTATGCCATGGGTTCTAAATTCTGAACGTGCACAGTTCTATATGATAAATTGCAATGTGACTGCAGAACATATAGTGTCAGAATTAGTAATGTTGGAACACTGTAAGAGCAAAGCCTTTAAATGGTTCTTAGGATCACTAGCATAACTACTTTCAACACAAATTCCTTTTTAAACTTTTTATACTGCAGAAACTAGCAAATGAGTTAAAACAAAAAATGAAGTCAATTATTGCACAAGAAAGCTAGCTTGAAATGTGTAACCACGGGCAATGTCAAACAACATTTTACGACAATGCAAGCTTCACTCTTCAGAATTAGGATTCAGTTGCACAAGATACAGCACATTTGTCAAGTTTAAGATAAACTCCAATACAAATGCAGATAAAGCACGTGATACTCCAATAGAGTATTGGGAGAGTGTTACATCTTGGTGTCATCTTTCAGACATGATATTGAACAGATATCTAGTATACCTGGTCAGGTGTACATCAAAAATCTAGTAGTATGTTTGACCAGTTGGAAGTTCTTCAAAGTGCTTAATATTTCATTGGAAACAACAGCTTATATTGCACAAGACTGGTTGAGAATACACCAGGGGACTATTGCCTGCTTTTCTTTGCACCAGAAGTTCTGATGATACCATTTCCCAAAAAGTGATTTTTACAAATAACAAATATGGCAGATTGCAATCTGAGACACATGCATTGTACTCACTTTCTACTCAGGAAATAAGTTTTCTTTCATTTTCCCTGAAGACCATAGATAAGCAAAAACTTTACTTGCATAGAATCATACAGCAATGAAACTGGCCATTTGGCCCACCACATCTATGCTGACCAACAAACACCAAACAATACTAATTCCATTTACAAGCTCTTGGTCCATAGCCTAATATGCCTAGCATTTTAAGTGCTCATCCAGAATTTTCTTAAATGTTGCGACAGTAACTGCCTCCACCACCCTCTCAGGCAGCACATTCCATATTTCTACCTCTGGAGGAATTTTTTTCCCCCTCAGATCTCCTCTAAACCCCTTATTCCTCGCTGTAATATTATGCCCTCTGGTCTTAGACATGTCTGCCACAGAGAAAAGATTCTCACAATCTACTCTGTCTATGGCTCCCATAATTTTGTATACCTCAATCAGATCCCCCTCCTCAGCTTCCTCTGCTCCAAGGAAAACAACCCAAATACCTTCAGACTGTAAGGCACCGTCAGGTGTATCAAGAGTGAGTCATGTATTTGTTAAAACACAGCACACAGCAGTCTCTCAGGTGTCTCTGCAAGCTAAGTCTAGTTCTGAATTCAATTTTGCTTTCAATGGTTTGGACGTTTGCCAGGAGTATGCTGGGGAGGGGGGTGGTGGTTGGGGGATTTGAATCCGCATTGCTTTTGTCTCACCTGCGGACCAGCGCAGCTTCCATGTTTCCTGGCAGGTTTGCTGCTTCTGGTCAGTCCTGGGCATTGGAGGTGCAAATTGCTGCTCCGGAAGGAAAGCAAGTCAGGTCAGGTCTGGTCGCCGTAGGGTCAGAGTTCCGGCACTGGCTGGTCGGGCCTCCTCAGGGTTGGGTCGTCGTGGTAGGTTTCCTGCCTCAGCAGTCTAATAACTGCAGGGAAGAAGCTATACTTGTACCTGTTGGTACGCGTAATTCAGCTTTTGTATCTTCTGCCTGACAGAAGAGGTTGGGAGAGATTATAACCGGGGTGGGAGGGGTCTTTGATAATGTTGGCTGCCTTTCCACGGCAACGAGAAGTATAGTTGGAGGTGAGGGTGGCTTGCGTGATGGCCTGGCCTGTGTTCACAATTTTCTGTAGTTCCCTACAGTCCTGGGCAGAGCAGTTGCCTTACCAAGCCGTGATGCATCCAGACAGCAAGTTTTCTATGATGCGTCTATAAAAGTTGGAGAGAGTCTGATGGACTTTCCGAATTTCCTTAGCCTCCTGAGGAAGAAGAGGCGTTGTTGTGCCTTCTTGACCATCGCATCTACGTGGGTGGTCCAGGGACAGATTGTTGGTCATTCCTAGGTACTTAATGCTCTCGACCCTCTTCCCCTCAGCTCCATTGATGTAGATGGGGGCATGTCCTCCTCCTTGCTTGTTGAAGTCGATGCTGAGCTCTTCAGTTTTGCTTACATTGAGGGAGAGATTATTACCTTTGCACCACGACATCAAGCCCTCTATCTCCTTCCTGTATTCTAATTCATTGTTGTTTGATATCCGGCCTACAACAGTGGTGTCATCAGCGAACTTGTAGACGGAGTTTGTACGAAATTTGGCCACAGTCATGAGTGTACAGGGAGTACATGAGAGGTCTGAGTACACATCTTTGTGGGGCGCAGGAGATACTGCTGTCTGACCACAGTCTATGGGTCAGGAAGTTGAGGATCCAGTTGCAGAAGGCGGGGCAGAGACCTAGGTCTCAGAGTTTGGATGTGGAGGTGCTGGTGTTGGACTGGGGTGCACAAAGTCAGAAATCACACAACACCAAGTTATAGTCCAACAGGTTTATTTGAAGACACAACCTTTCGGAACCTCAGTCCCTCTTCAGGACTGAGGGTCCAAAAGCTTGTGTTTCAAATAAACCTGTTGGACTATAACCTGGTGTCATGTGATTTCTGTTAGAGTTTGGAGATTGGTTTGGTTGGGATTATAGTGTTAAAGGTGGACCTGTACACATTAAGTAGAAGCCCGAAATTGGTATCCTTATTATATACATGCTCCAGGGATGACTGTAGGGACAGGGAGATGTTGTTCTGCCATAAACCTGTCGCGACAGGAGGCAAACTGCAAGGGATCAAGGCAGGCTGGGAGGCTAGAGTTGATGTGAGCCATGACTAACCTCTCGAAGCACCTCATAATTATGGTGGTTAGAGCCAGAGCAGTAGACATTGAGGCACACTGCATGAGTTTTCTTCTGTACAGAAGTTCACACCACAGCAGGACTATTCTATGCAGTTCTGGACACCACTCTATCAGAAGGATGTGATTAACTGGTAGGGTGCAGAGGACATTCACCAGTATATTGCCAAGGATGGAGCATTTTAGCTATGAAGTGAGGCTAGTTAAGCTTGTATTGTTTTCTTTAGAGCAGAGAAGGCCGAGAGAGGACTTGATTGAGGTATATATGATTATGACCTATCCGAAAGATGTGATGACACTGGAGAAGGTGTAGAGCAGGTTCACTAGGATGTTACCTGGGATGAAAAGTGTCTGTTATGAGGAAAGACTGGATAGGTTGGGTTTGTTTACCTTGGAGCAGAGGACACTGAGGGGGAATCTGATTGAGGTATACAAAATTATGGGAGGCACAGACAGTAGATTGTGAGAATTTTTTCTCCATGGCAGACATGTCTAAGACCAGAGGGCACAAGTTAAAAGGTGTGTAAGTGGTTTAGAAGGGATCTAAGAAAAAAAATGTTTTGAATAGAGGGTGGTAGAAATAGGAATGTGCTGCCTGTCAGAATATTGGAGACAGGTACTCTCGCAAGATTTAAAAAGCACCTTGATGAACACTTAAAATACCAGGGTGCAGTATGTTATGGACCAAATGCAGGTAAGTGTGATTAGTATAGTTTGATGTTTGTTGATCGGCATTGATACGGTGAACCTGTTTCTATGCTGTATGACTCTGACTCCATGAGCAACATGGACAGTATGGACAAGCAGCAGCTATTCCCCTTAGTTGAGCGGTCACTAACAAGGTGACATAATTTTAAGGCGAAGGGCAAGAGGTTTAATGTGGGAACCTGGAATGCACTGCCTGGGAGAGTAGTAGAGACAGGAAACTTCACAACTATTAAAAGTGTACTTGGATGACCACTTGAAATGTCATAACATTCAAGGCTATGGGTCAAAGTGAGCAAAGTGGGATTTGTGTAGATAGTGTAGCTCAGACTCTATGGGCCAAAAGGGTCTCTATTATGCTGTATAACTCTATGTTGATGGTACACACTACTCTTATGGAGTCTCAGTGGTGGAGGGAGTAGATAGCTGAAGGCATTGAACACAACAGAGGCTATAGGCCTCGACAATATTCCAGTACAATAGAGTATCCAAGCTCCATAATGAACCATGCCCCAGGGAAGCCAAGAACATGGCAATGTACACCTATTGCACTTTCACCCCATCGTTCCCTGCCCCCAAACAATCTGACCTCTCCTCTTGTCCTTGCAATGAGGCCTCCCACAAGGAATCCCAAGGTTCAAGACAATGCACTGAAGAGGAAAACTAAAGCTTGGGGGCAGCCATCACAACAGCACAAATGGGGAAAGGTTACTGTCAAAGACATTTAGCCATACTTCAATGAGGGACTGGAAGTAGTATGGAGGGTGGCAAAGGTGCAGAATGCACTCTGGCTGGGGGATTTCACTGTCCACTACCAAGAACTACCACTCAGCTCCTGACCTCATTACAGCCTTGGTTCAAACATAGACAAAAGAACTGAATTCCAGAGGTGAGGCAAGAGTGACAATCCTCAACAGCAAGACCATAATTGACAGAGTGTGACAACAAGGAGCCTGAGCGAAACTGATTGCAGGCATACTTGGCACACAGGAAGATGGTTATGGTTGATGGAGGTCAGTCATCTCAACTCCAGCACACCTCTGCAGGAGTTCCTCAGGCAGTGTTCTAGACTCAAGTATCTTCAGTTGCTTCATCAACAACCTACCCTCCATCATAAGGTCAGAAGTAGGGATGTTTGCCGATGACTGCACAACGTTCAGCACTGTTCAAGATTCCTCAGATAATGAAGCAATCCATGTTCAAAAACAACAACAGCTGGACATTATCTAGGCTTGGGTTGACAAGTGGCAAGTAACATTTGCGTCACAAAATGCCAGGCAATGACCATCTCCAATAAGAAACAACCTAACCACCACCGTCAATACAAAATGGTGTTACCATCACTGAAAGCCCCAGTATCAACATTCTGAGGGTTATCATTGACTAGAAACTCAACTGGAC